CTGGGGCGGCCCTCAGTCTCTGTGTCTCCAGAGGCCTCCCCAGGCCTCCCTGGCATAGTAGCAGCCAGGGTTGGGGAATGCAGATTATGTCATTACAGGAGGCCATAAATCCCTTTGCAGGCTGAGCAAGCAGACTCCTGGGGAATGCGCTGACCACTAGGACTGCACTACATGGCTACCAGCAGATGACAAGGCCAGATTGCCAGGCCTTTGGAACAGGTGCTAAGCCTTATGCCTTGTATTCTGATCAGAGTTCTATATTCTACAGAGGTGCAGGGTGGTCTAGGAAAGTTAACTGGCACAGGTATTGACCATGGGTGCTCACACACACTGTGTTCACCTACCTACACTGTAGCATGCTTGCCACCAACACCTCATTCATCCATGAAAGAGAGACTGCTGGATGTGGTGTCGCTGTGCCCACTTCATGGATGGGAAGCATGAGTTGGGAGTGGTTCAAAATGAGTCCTGGCTTTCAAACCAACCTTGAGATGGGCCTGGGAGTCAGTGTCCATCCGTCCATCCGTGGTGTCCCCGCCCCCCTGCAGCCTTCCATGTTTACCTCTTCGAGGGAATATGTTAGAACTTCTTTGGAGAGGGATTAAAGAAGAAGACACAGGGGCGGCTTGTACCCTAGTTAAACTGTGGCTGCAGGGATTACTGGCCCCGCCCCTGCTGCAGCCTGTTCCAGAAAGGACACTGTACCAGGGGACAGCAGAGTCAGTCAGTCTCAGCTCTCTATGGTCCCTGCATTTATCGTCACTCTCAGAGTCCCCTACTCCTGAGCAAACTGTAGAGGCCTCTACACCAACGGATGCATCCTCCAAGGACAAAGGGACTGTAGTTGTTCCAGGAGAGGGTAACTTCCGAGACGTAGCACCCTTCATGTCCTGCTCGTCTTCTAGTATGAGCATGCAGCTCTTCCTGTCAGGCTCTGCTCGCCTCCCCTTAGCTGAAGAGCCTGTGACGTGCCTGGACAGCAGAAGGAGCCCAGATGTTCACGTGGAACATTCTAGCCCAGGCGTCAAGACACTTAGTGGCTTCTGTTACACTATGATAGAGGGACACCTCCAAGAAGATGTTATGTTAGTCTGGACAGACTATGTGGAAGCAGAAGCCAGTTGTCCCTTGATAAGGTGAGAGACATGGTCACAAACTACTCTGAGTCTTTTAGTCCTAGTCAAGTCTCCCTGGTAGACGTCCCACAGGGCAGGAATAGGCCTTCTGCCCTAGTTCCAGAAGGGAGAATACCAGTACCTGGTTGTGGCTCTAAACCGCTAAGTTTTGGGGGTAGTTGTGCAGAAACAGGAGATTCTACCCCCACCCACCCCTTCGCCCTTCTGTGACTTCTTTACCCAAATTTGGCCTCTGCAACTCCTTCGCCACAGCTGATTGGACAAGAGATGAGCACCTTACTCGGAGGCAGCCAAGGCACTGGCTGGTAGGTGACCAATCAGATTCGTTTCCTTTGGGACTATGAATGAAGAGATGGGAGACTCTAATAAGCCATACTAGGAAGGAGGCTGGGGCTGGAGATTTCCTAAGAGCAAGTGGGAGTCAGGGAGTGACTCTCTGTCTTATATGGGCTGTTATCGCAGGAGGGTACACACTCCCTGGTGGGTCTGTGCTGTCCTTGGTTTTGTGGGTTTTTTATCCACCCCAGGCTGGCCTTGAACTCACTACATAGTTGAGGATGATTTGAACTCTAGATCCCCCATACCTGTGCTCCAGGGATTACAGGTATGTGCCGCCACACTTACAGGTGGTACCAGGGATTGGACCCAGGGCCTTGTTCGTGCTACATGAGCACTCTGCCATGGAGCTTCATACTAGCCTCTGTCCTCTTGTGCTAGGGTCTCAAAGCCTCTTGACCAGCTAGTGACAGAGCTCCCCTAGGGACCCTGATGCCAGTCAAAGGCCTGCTTCTTTCCTTTGTTGTCTGTAGCCCTCATCCACACTCACAAACATGAGTCCTTCAGGGCCCTGGGTTCGCTTGTTCTGTCCAAGCAGAGAGACTAGTGGTCATGTTCCTACCCCTCCCACAGTTAGGCCTCCAGGAGCACTGTGGAAGGGATGACCAGCTTGGCTTCTAACCCAGCCCACCAAGTCCTACAAAGTCCCCGACATGCCAGCTCCTGGGTTCAGCCATCTCCCCTGCGTGCCCATCAGGCTAATCACAGTAACCACCAGTGTCCCAAAATCATACAACATGATCTTTGTATTCCAAGGCACCCTAAAATAGGATTCTAGACCCCATTTAGTGCATGGGTCACAGTGGTAATGGGTTTTGAACCAAAGTCAGCCTGACTCTAAAGCCCATTATCTACCTGCCTCTACTGTGTGACTCTGGTGCGTTACTCTCCCTCTCTGAGCCTCTACTGACATTTCAGGGGTAAATAGAAAGAAGAGCTTGCTGTACCATCTAGGGCTTATCTCTTGGATGTCAGCTTGGCCTAGTCCATTTGCTTTGTGTGGGTGGTCCCATCATCTTTCTGCCATGCCCTGCTCCTGGAAGTGACTTTGGTTCAGTCCCCTGGAAAATGGGTGGACACTCAGGATTCCAGATCTTGTCCTCTCTACCCCAGTGGCTTCTTACCACTTCTTCCCTTGGTCCCAGGTGGAAAGGTTAGCTGGGCACAGCACTGCTCTCCCCCACATTTGGGACGGCAGGACACCCCTGCAGGGCTACAGGTGCAGACCAGGACCCCAGGATTATGATAGGGTGCAGGGGGCCAGAAAGTCTGATTCTGCCTTCCTTTGGGTTCAGCTTCCAGGCCAGTGTCTGCGTATCCTTGGTGGGGGTCTCCACTGCTCCTGTGTCCCTTTCAGAGGCTAAGGGGCATGGAGAAGTAGACTCCCCAGCCAGACATCCCAGGATGCTCCGTGAGCCCTAGCAAGACGTATGGCAATGGTGTAGACAAGTGCCCACTTCTACAAAACACCTTCCACAGTGAAAAGAAGCTTCCAGACCAATCAACCCTGCCCTATGACCCTGGGCACTCCTCTCCCCAACTGACTCTGTCTAACCTGGTGGCAACTAGGAATTTTCTCATGTCCCCGGGTTTCCATGGGAGTCACTTCTGTCCCAGTAGCCAGGAGTAAATTAGCACCTTGGCCCTATTACTCTCGCAGCACCCGAGGCCTCCCAGAGATCATGTGACAATTCCATATGCAGTCTCTGGAGAGGAAGAATGGTGTACCTGCTCAGCCTCCAGACTGGGTGGCAGAGAGCCTGGGCTCTGGTCTCTCTCAGGAGATGGCAGGCCTGCAGAGCTCTTGAAGCCTCATGCAATATGACTATCATCTTGGATGCAGACCACTTACATGCCAAAGACCCTACACACCCCAGCCTCTCTGGTTGTCCATTGAGTTCTCTTGTCCCTGTATGGCTGAGAAGCCCTGAGCCAGGCTGAGAAGGCTGTGGTTCTGAGAGTCTGGAAGCAGACTCTGGTCCTGTCACTCGGAAGCTGACTGTTTTTCAACTAAGCTACTGCTATACCTGGTCCTCATCCTCTGTGTGTGCACAAGAGCTACATTTGATCAGCATTACCACCACTGTACCAGACATCAAACATACCTCGTCCTCATTTGCGCCTTCTTAACAGCAAAAGCAGTAAGATCAAGGCTAGGCACGGTGGCACACATCTTTAACCCAGCACTCAGGAGGCAGAGGCAAGTAGATCTGTGAGTTCCAGGCCAGCTAGGGTTACATAGTGAAGCCTGACTCAAAAAAAAAAAAGGTACCTTTATTCGAAGGCGAGGAACTGAGGCTTAGAGGATAATCCTGCTTAGCTGGTGAGTGACAGAATTAGAACTTGAACACAGACCTGACCTTGGACCTCAGAACCTTGTAACTACCTGCCTAAGCTTCCTCTGGGAATCCTCACTGAGTCCTGCAGGAGGTCACCAGAGGCTCAAGCCTTGTCCAGAACCAGGGCAGTCTTGGGCAGTGGTTGGGAGAACAGGTTGGGGCAAGGTGGCCTTAGACACCAGCCAAGCAGGGAGCAGAGTCATGGCAATGATGCCTGAGAAATGACTGAATGAATGAATGAGGGAATGAATGAATGAGTAAAGGACTGAGTGTTCATCCCAGGCTTTCTCACCAGATATGCTGCCCACCCCCAGGACTTGGCTTGGAGGTGGGAGCCCTTGGATAAGCTGCATTCTGGCAGTTTCTTGATACTGAGGATTGACCTCCCTTTGCTCTCTGTCCTTCATCAGCTGGGTCTGTGCCCCTTGGTCTCGGGAGGCAGGAAACCCTGAACCCACAGAGGGCTGAACAGGAGCTGCCCATAGGAGGACACACCCGCTTGGAGTGGAGAGGCCAGGTGTCTCTGACCCACGCCCTCCCTGCCCACAGACATGAGGTGTGCTGAGTACTAGGTCTGACGACTGAGCTGCAGTTAGCTTTTCAGACAGGGCCCAAGGATTCTTTCTAGGAAAGTGACAAATTGCCACTATCTTGTAGCTCTATTGCCGGGGGCAGCCCTCTCCATGGCTGAGTTGGGAGCATTTAGATTTGGTTTGAACAGTAAGGTTCAGGTGGAGGTTACTATCTGGCTCTCCTGGTCAGCTCATGGGCAGTGGGGTCCCAGATCCAAATCCAAGAGACCCTGCCAACCCCAGGATAGGCCCAGAGCATGGCCTGGTGGAAGGACTGGTAAAGCTGGGTGACAGACCGTCTCCAGAGTGCCCCGGAGTGCCTGCTACCCTGAGGACTCTACACAGGAAGTAGCAGATAGTCAATAAATGGTTGTGAATATAAGACTTGGAGAGAGCTGGCACTCCTAATATCGGTCCACAGCCAAGTCAAAGCTGGCCTCTGTCTAGGGGGCCTCCTACCATGCTCTGTGGAGCTAAAGCCCCGACTCTCCAACCCAGACAGCATCCTAGGAGGAGCCTATGGGAGCCCAAGAGCTTCCCCTTCCCCAGCCCTGACCCCAAGGGGATCCCATCACACGGTGAGAGAATAATGACCATAATGAGAGCAGTCACCCACACACATGTGCACAGCGCTTTACAGATTACAAAGTGTTTCACATACATCATCTCATCAATTCCTCACAACAGCCCTGTGAGGTAGGCAGGGCAGGGATAATGTTCCCATTTGTACAGATGTGAAGACTGAGGCCCAGAGAGAGCTAGTGACCTGCTTGAGGTCACACAACAGTGAGCAGCAGAGCTGGGACCAGAGGAGAAGACTCAGGCCTGCCTCTGGCTCCTGACTCTTTCCACTGACTGCTGTTCCCCCAAGAGGACCCCAGCCCGTCCCAGTTTCAGCCACACCCGAGCCTGGCCCTACCTCCCCTTGGCAGTGCTGCCTGGCAGCCAGCAGACAGGCCCCGCCCACACTGGGCGGTCCTGTCCCCTCCCCTACTTCCTGCAAAAAGCCAGCTAGAGCTGGGTCCTGGAGCTCCAAACGGTGCCTAGCAGAGTGGGCCAGAGGGTGGGGCTGGAATCTCCTTCCCTGTTTTCCTGAGTGATCCCTCCCCACAGGGGAAGAGAAGAGAAAGGAGGAAGAGGAGGAGGAGGAAGAGGAAACAAGAAACTGAGTTGGAAGGCGGCCCTGGGGCCATCAGGACGTCAAAAGTTTGCATTCCGACTAGCTATTGGAAATAGTTTTTTTCTTTTTATTATTTCAAGTTTTCATAAAAATCCATAATTATTGAAACCCAAGTTACAGAGGAAGTTTGTAACTTTTTTTTTAATTGAATTATTGACTCTGCCGCGTGTTGGTTCCTCGGCTTTCGACTGTCAACTCTGGCCCCTGTGCAGGTGGGGTCCTCAGGCCTGGCCTTCTGAAGTCCTGGTAGAAGGAGAGCAGGCGGTGAGGGCTGGCGAGGCAGCAGGGGCACGTGGGGGAGGGGGGGAGAGTGGGCGAGGAGGGCAGGGAGGAGGTGGGAAGGCCTGGTAGTGAGCGGGCAGCAACCCAGCTCTTTCCCTGCCCAGTGTTCCCCTGGGGGTCCCTGCGCCCAACCCCGCCCGCCCTCATATCATCTTCATGTTGAACTTGCGGGGTGCATCAGCAGAGCTGATGCCTGCGTCCGATTTCCGGGGCACATACTCAATTTCGATGTTGTGCTTTGTGTTGCCTTTGCCCCGGCTCCAGAGAAACAGCAGCACCAGGCAGAAGAGAACAACGCCCAGGAAGGAGATGAAGCCCATGGTGGTGGCGATGATGAGTGTCTTGATGTCGAAGGGGAAAGGCACGGTGGCGCGGGTGCTGTTGGCCTCTCCCTCGCCTGGCTGGTTGGAGATGAAGGCGAACGTCTTGTTAGGCTGATGGGGCCAGTCGGGCGAGTAGCTGCGCACATGCAGGTGGGCAGGCATGGAGTCGTTGCCGCCAGCATTGGCCGCGATGCACAGGTACGTGCCGTTGTCCTGTACCTGGGCGTAGCGCACCTCCAGCGTGCCATCAGGGAAGACTGTGAGCCGCCCATTGCTCTTAGCCGAGACCAAGTGCTTGCGCGGTGAGAGCCAAAGGATGGCTGGTGGAGGGTCGCCATCCGCCCGGCACACAAACTGCACCGTGTGGCCCTCATCTACAAACACCTGCTGTGCCTTGCGGTCCCGGATGTGGGCCCGGCGGCAGGTGAAGTAGTTGGGTAGAAGTACATCTGGAAAGTCCTTGAACTCCTTGCCCTGGACGAACTCAGGTGTGGCGCAGGTGGGTTGCTGCCTGTTGAAGTTGAGCCGCCAGCGGCGCCGGAACACCCACAACAGCCGGCAGTCACAGGCCAGTGGATTGGAGTCCAGGATGAGTGTCTCCAGATTGCCCACCGAATGGAAGGCCGACTCCTCCAGGGTGGTCAGCTGGTTACCAGAGACATTGAGCACACGTAGGTAGTTGAGCCCACGAAACGCATAGGGCTCCACCACGGCTAGCTGCCCACCCACCAGCTGGATCTCCTGCAACCGCAGCAGCTCATGCAGCATGGAGCCCTCGATGGTACCGATGGGGTTGTAGGAAAGATTGAGGAAGCGGAGATAGACCAGGTGGCGAACGGCCAGATAGGGTACGGCGGTCAGGTTGCAGTGCGTGATGGACAGGGAAGTCAGGTTGAGGCCATAGAGGCAGTTGGGGGTCATGGTATCCAGGTAGGGCCAGTGGGAGATCTCTAAGACCTTGAGTCGATACAGCCTCTTGAAGGAGTAGTCCCTGATGGCGTTGATGTTGAGATGCCGTAGCCGCAGGACGATGAGGCCATGCAGGTGGGAGAGTGCCTCAGTGGGGATGGAGGTCAGATTGCATTTCTCCAGAGTCAGCTGCTCCAGGCTGTTGAGGCCGCTGAAGGCTCGATGGGAGATGTAGACGAGGTCGTTGTCACCAACCTCCAGCGACTTGAGGTTGTATAGGTCTTGGAACATGTAGTCCAGCAGGATGACAATCTTGTTCTCACTGATGTCCAGCTTGGTCAGGTTGCTGAGGCCGGTGAAGACACCCAGCGGGATGAGCTTCAGGCGGTTGCTGCGCAGCCCCAGCGTCCGCAGGTTGAAGAGGTTATTGAAGGCGCCAGGCTCCACGGCGCTCACGATGTTCTCATTGAGCTCCAGCTCCTCCAGGTGTGGGAAGCTGGCGAACTCGTCCTGGTTGAGCGTCTTGATGCGGTTTTTGCCCAGGTCCAGCAGGCGAGTCTCCGTGGGGATGCCCTCAGGCACCGCTACAAAGCGCTTCCGGTGGCAGAGCACTGCTCGGTCCTGTGCTGAGCACTCGCAACGGGGCGGGCAGCCTGTGGCAGAGCCTGATAGCACGGAGCCCAATACTAGCAGGAGGATGGGCTGCCAGCAGGCCAGGAGGGGGCTGGGCATGCTTCTCACGCCCCCCACCAGCATCCTCTCGCTCACCTGCAGCCAGAAGCAAGCACAGGACAGAGGTGGTAGTGAGCAGCAGTGCTTGGCTGGACCCCACCTCACCCCCATCCCAGGTGGAAAGGATGCAGAGGCGGGCAGGGCAGTCCCCTTTAAGGGTCACAGACAGTTTACTCTAGGCATGTCCTGAGTCTCAACTCATTCAGAGCCCCATCAGCAATAAAGTCAGTCTTGATTCACTGAGGCTTAAAGGGCTCAAGGCCAGGTTTCTGGGAGTAGTCCTCAGAGGGAAGGGAGACCAGCTCCTTAGGCTGCTGGGCGCTCTACCCTGGCAGTCACCATGATACGTTCCACCCAACTCTGCCCCTTGCATCCTGGATGGCCTACAAACCTTGAGTACCTGTAGAAGGTACTAAATCTGCTCCAGGATGGGACATTATCCAGAAGCTGGTACCCAGTAAGAAGCCTCTGTATCTGAAGATCTCACCTGGGGCCCCGTGGGTCCTGTGAGCCCTGGACTACCTCTTCTACAAGGACCTAACCCTGATCATCAGATCAGCTACTCAACCCAAGGCATGAGTGTTGCCTGCATCCCGGCTGTAACCTTGCCATCCTTCCAAGAATGTTGCTTCTCTAGACTGTAGAAATCCTGTTTTGAAGACCCAGCTAAACCTGAGAAGACTTACGTGATTCCCAAGATGAAGGACTCCCCCTTCAGAGGTCCCATCCATTTGCCTCTCTGGGTTCCCATCACCTCTCCCCACCACCAGGCTCCTCCAGTTACTGGTCTGACCGCTAAGACTAGAATAGGCATCTTACATGTGCCCACCCACGCTTCGCACTGAGCATACGAGACTGGTTAAAGCTGGGTCCTAAGACATGCTGAACTCGGTGGGAGGTGGCAGAGAGATGGGGGAGACTGCTGAGGGTTCCAAGTGGAGTGAGCCCTGCATAGATCTGCCGTTCCTGGTGCTGTCTGCCTTCCCTTCTGCTCCCTCTGGGGAAACTAGCCTGGAGATGGGGTGGGGAGGAGCCAAGAGGCCTTCGGCGATGCACCAATGCAGTGGCCCACTGCAGCCTTCTGCCTCCAGTGGGATGAAAGCGCTACAATGCTCATCGCCCTTGCCTCTGGCCCTAGTAGGCTGTACTGCTGCAACCCAGTCCTATGCCCATGGCCCTGTGGAACCTATTGCAAGCCTGGGAGGCCAGGCTTGGGAATCCCATCTGTGCCCACTTTGGGCTCTTCCCACCCCTTGACACAGCCTCTGCCTTCAAGCCACAATGTGTCATAGCTGTCATCCATGTCAACTAGTAAGGCAACTGAGGCTCCGAGAGACTGTGACTGCCACTCAACCAGTAGCAGGGACCAATTTGGATCAAGCTCTGGCACCTCACACTTTCAAATGCTCTGCTGGTCTTCAGGAACTGACAGGTATTTCCTGGTTGTTGATCGACTAAGTGACTGATTAACCAGAGAGAACTCATGGTGTCATTGACATGTTATGGAATCTGCACAGTTTTGTTATCCCCAAGGGTTTTGTCCCCCTCCTCCTCCCTCCCCCTCATTCTCTCTCCAGATTCTTCTGTGTCTGAGCATCTCCCTACCCTGCCCCCACAGGACCGTTTTCCACAGACACACACGCTCCAGTGACCCACCAGAAAAGCAAACATCCTGACAGGCGATCAATAAGTAATTGGGCCAGCAGCTGGGGCTGGTGTGCGTGTGAGGCCGGGGGCTTCAAGAGGTGAACAGGACTTTTAGTACCCATCTCAGGCCTGGGCTAGCCTGGGAGCTGCCAGAGGCGGCTGGAGAAGAGAGAAGGGAGGCATAAGGACCCTGAGATGTTGACAAACCCTTCTTGCACACGTGCATAGCACCTGTCTCCCTTTGGAGAACGGTCCCAGCTGCCTTTCCAGCCTTCTACCCCGAAGGCCACCTCCTCCAAGAAGTCCTCCCTGAGTCACTAAGATGTCATCACTTGCCTACTACGACACAGACACACTTGATTCTTCCTAGCAGTGGCATGTGATTGCTGTGTGGCTCACCCCATTCCAAATGACAGTTGGACCAACTGAGAGAAAAGTTAAGGCACAAGAGGATGGCAAGCAGCTGGGGACAATGCCATAATGTCTGCCCTGCATAAAGAATAGAGGGGACCATCCTGGCAGCTGAACAAAGAGGGAAACATGCTCTCTGGTCACCATGCGATGTATGCTCAACTCTGGGCCACACCGCCACTGTCCCAGCTCCATCTGTCTCACCTGCTATAGTGACGTGCTCAAGGACACACGTTGGTGAACGTTCTGCGGGAGGCAACACATGATCAAGAGGGAGTTGTTATAGGCAGTGGAAACCCCTCTGCTGGGGCTGACCTTGGTGCAGGCCCACGGAACAATGAAACCTCAGGTATTTTTAAATGTTGGAGGAAAAGCCGGGCAGTCTTGCCCTGTAGAGCTACCACCCCAAGCCAGGCAGTTCACCGGAGAACAATGGCCATGCGCTATGAGGTCAGGAGAGCTCCATGTACACACCCTCTGAATTGCCTTGTTTTTACGACTTCTGTGAGAGCACATGTGCGTGTGTGGGGCACGCGTGTGGAGGCCAGAGGTCAACATCAGATGTCTTCCTCTATCATTTTCACTGTAGTTTTTGACACAGCGCTTCTCACTGAGTCTGGAGCTCACCAGTTGGGCTAGATGGGCTGACCTGCAAGCTCTAGGGATCCCTGTCTCTGCTTCCCCAGTTCTGGGATTATAGGTGAACATCACTGTACTTGACATTTTATGTGAGTTCTGGAGAGCGGACCTCCTGTTTGCGTGGCAAGCATTTTACAGACTTAGCACATCCTCAGCACATCCTTCTCCGTCTTTTACAGATGGCTGTCCCGAAAGGTAGGGAAACCTAAGGCCCTGAGAGGAAGGGTGCCTGTGCACACCAGCATAACAGACAGCAGAACATCTTGGTTATAGGTTCCTAGACTCGCACCCCCACAGGGTCCTTGTCAGTATAACATGTAGGGGGTCTGAAAGGGTCGCCCGGGCTGCTAAGTGGGCTATGCAACTCACCTGCAGGGCTCAGCAATCTAAGGCTGTACCCTCCACGGTGTTTTATGCTTTTTAATCAGTGTTTTAATTCGGGTCCTTGCCCCCCTGAAGGGCTTCTCATGAGGGCAAGAATTCAAAATTGGAACAATAAATACAAAGAAAATAAACATCAAAGACAGGCAGGTGGCAGGCAGTGGATTGTAGTGCCCAGGGCATGATGCCCAGACCCTGCAGCAGCCTGAGTCTTCCCCAAAGCAGGGTCAGGGAGGCAGCTGAGCCATCAGTTTAGTTCAAGACGAACCTCTGAACTGTCTGCAGTAGGGATGGGTGGTTGCCGACACCTTCCCTTGTGTCCCAGGGCAGACATGGCCTGGCTCAGACAGTGCTGCCTGACACTGGTCCTTTGCAGTCCTCTGTGTCAGCCTGTCGAGTGCCCTGGGCAATGCCTGCTCTTCCTGGCCTGCGACCCTCACTGAACAGACACTGGGTTTCAGAGCATCAGGGGACTGACACTCTAAGCTGGACAGCCAAACATCCTAGGCTGGGGACAGAGCGGGAGCTGGAGACCTGAAGTTTCATCAGGGCTGGGACGATCCCTGCCTGCTCAGCTCTCCTGACTGGAGAGTCACACTGGGACTCTGGTGGGAGGACATCTGGTGGCAGAGGAAAGGGTGTGGGATTGCCTGTGCATGAGCTGGGGTCATGTTGTCCCATAGGCAGCATCGTCTGGTGGCACTTGGGTGTAACTCTGAGCCAGGCCCACAAGCCAGTTAGAGGCTGCTCAGAAAAGGGGAGGGACTATCACTGGGGAGTCCCTTTACACACTGTCTCAGGACCCTGGAGTCTCAAGAGGCTTCCTCACCCATTTTACAGTTGCGAAACCAAGGTCCAAGGAGGGAACTCACTTGTGCCAGCATGAGGCCATGAAGCCCGTAGGCAGCAGGGCTCTGTCCTTCTGGTGGGTCGGCTGCCTGGTGTGTGTGTTCTGTTATAGTGTCTCCTGGGGAAGAGAGAAGCTGCTGGTCCTCAGAGAGCCATGTTCAGGTGTTCAGCCCTGCGGTAGATGGGTTACCTGCCATGTGTCCAGTGACTGTCCGTGAATCCATGCCCTTGTCTGAACTCAAATCTCCCCTCATTTGGGGTGAGCTGCAGCATGGGTGGAGGGCTTAGTTATGCTGGGCTCTCTGTGCCAGGATTTCATGTGTTCCCACTTAGCATTCCTCAGGGATGGCAGTCCCCCTGTGTCGTCTCCGCTCCCCCCAGGAATGACTTTTGTACAGAGCTTTTGCTATATGAGGCAGGGCCTGGGGCCTCTGAGCAACAAAGCCTTGAGATTCTTAGGCTGGTAGGTGGCCTGGATTCTTCCTCTCTGGGAACAAGGCTGGTGACCCGAGGTCATGTTCCCACAGCTGGGTCTGTGGCAAAGCATGCTGGCTAGGGAATCCCCAAAGTGCTCAGGCCCAGACACACTGTCCATAACGGACCATGTGACAGACCAAGAGCAAGAGAGAGAAGGATGACAGAATAGAGGCACACGGGGTTTCATAGGATGAGGAGGCAAAAGAGAAAGCAGGAATAAAGAGGCAGAAAGAAGCAGGCGATGGATGAGAGACAGCACAGGGACGGGAGTGGTCCAGGCCTGGTGACATCCCAGCACTTCAGAGGCAGAGGCAGGTGGATCTCTGAGCCTTCCGGGCCAGCCTGCATGACACAGTGAAACCCCTCAAAAAAATCTAGCCATCTGGCTCTACTTCACATTGCGTGGCGTTCAGTTGTAAGACGGGGGTCTGTTAAGCTACCCTGTTCTCACCACCACCCCTACAGGGTTTGATCAGCTAACCATCTTCAGGTGGGCAGACAGACTAACAAAAGTGAGGAACTCAGGTCACCAAAGAACAGATGCCAGGCAAAGTCTGGGCTTCTCAACGGGAGCCCTGCTCCCAGGCGTCTCTGCCTTCAGCCTCCGTGTTGCTGGGTTCGTGTTGTAGCATGATAGCACCGGCTACATGTACCTGCTCACTGGCAGCTAGGACCAAGGGGCTGGGGGGGGTATGGTGCCCTTCTAGGGACACTCGATATCTACCTGCCGGTTCCTCCCCCAACCCATGCCAGAGGTCTGCCCAGCCTTCACCACCCAGTTGCTGTGTGGGTGTGGGCACCCCTCCCCTCTTGTGGGGCTTCTCTGGAGCACCGATGCTAGTGCTCCCTCCTAGATTTCTCTGTGGCCCCCAGATTAAAATGCTGAGCTGGATTTCATCTCTGTATCCCTAGCTTCTCCCACAACAACTAGTCAGTCACACGAGTGTGGGGATGGCCCCTGAAACACTAGCTAGGATTCAACCCTCCAACACCTAGTCTAGGCTCGAGAAGGGATTCTGGGAGGAGAGAGGTGAGGAGGACAGCAAGGGTGAGGAGGTGGCTTGTGGCCAGGTCAAGCTGAAAGCGTGCAGGACTCCTGTTGGCTATTCTCCTGGCCCAAATCCTGGCCCAGTCCCTGGGCTCCTTCAAGACACTGCATTCTGGCTGACCTGACTCATGCCTGCTGAGGTGTGAATGGCTGATAATGGTATATAAGGAAGGAGCGCTAATGGGGGAAGGTAGTGTTAGTCTGCAGGGCTAGGCGAAGAGTCCAGGAGCAGGCCACCTGGGCACAGGGGAGGAGACCCTGAGAGAGGGTCAGCAACCAGGCTGAGCTGCCAGAGCAGTGATGCCTTGGCAGGCTGGAACAGCCCAGTGTGTCCCCTCCTGGCTGACACTCGCCTCTAGCTATACCCTCCCCCCACCCAGGGGAGAGAAAAATCAACTTGGAAGAAAATTGAGGTCATGTCCTTTGTTGTGCATAATTCTTTATTTTCCTCTTGCTTTTAGTTCTGGCAAAGAGTTGCTAGGTTCCCAGTCTCTCTCTCTCTCTCTCTCTCTCTCTCTCTCTCTCTCTCTCTCTCTCTCTCTCTCTCTCTCTCTCTCTCTCTCTTCCTCTCTGTGTGTGTGTGTGTGTGTGTGTGTATGTGTGTGTGCGCGTTTGTGCACGCGCTCAGCTGAGAGGATACTAGAGAGCATCAATGTGCATATATGTGACCGAGAAAGACTCAGTGTGAGTATGTATGTGACACACAGAGAGAAAACACACAGAGAACACCAATGTGTTTGTGGGTGGGGGAGCACCTGGCCTGTGGGCCACCGGCCCTGTCTCTCCGGCACACTGAGAAATCCAGTCTCCTCCCTGTGGGCCAAGGCTGGCTGGAGGGCACCACCTGGGCTGCTCACCTACAAGCCTTTTAGGACAAGTGGGGTTGGGCCAACCTCCAAGCACCCTGGTCAAGAATCTGGCCCCTGAGTGCAAAGGAGGGAGGCCCCTGCCCACTGGACCCAAGCACACCCCGTCTTAGGAGCTGCCAGCCTTCCGGCCAGCCCACAACCTCAGGCCATTTGAGGGATAAATTATGAATTTTAATTGTCAAAGCATCTTAGTGTTTAAAGGCTTCTATATATAGGCTCTGCCCTCCAGGAGTGGCCAGCTAAGAGAGGAGCTGGGGTTGGGCAGGGCCTAGAGAAAGTCAACTATGGTGACAAAGGGTTCATGAGCTTTATCCTGGATTCCAGCCAGGGCACCTTGCCCTGCTGTGAGATCTGGGGGAGGACTGGACCACTCTTGGAGCTTGCCATTTACTGTACAAGGTCACCTGGGCTGGGCCTGCCCGAGTAGACAGCACTCCCTTCCTTGCCCAGGAGCTGTCCCTTAGGTGAAGAGATGTTGACAAGGGTCTGTGTGACGCGATTGCGGGGAAGCTAGAAACCCATACCCATCCTTCTCCTGAGCTGTCAATCGGGCTCTCAGGGTCAGAAAGGCACCTCTGAAGGCCACCACCCCATCCTCCTCAGGCAGGGGTACTCCTGTCCCCACTCACTCCTAGGGCCTCTCCCAGATACTCCAGCCTGACACCAACTGGGGAGCCCCAGGCGTTGGGCTTGAGAGGGATGGGCATAGACTCACAGATATGAGCAGACTAAAGTAGAGGGAACAGAGAGGAATGGGGGAAGGAGCAGGGGTTGGGGTTAGGTAGCAAGATGATCAACGTGACTGAGAAAGAACCCTTCTAGAGGGCCCTTGGCACTAAGCATCCTGTGGAAACCAGTTACCCACCAAGGCCAGGGGAGTCATTACCCACCTTTTGTAGGTCAAAAATTGGAAACCGTCAGGTGAGGTGGCGCACGCCTTTAATCCCAGCACTTGGGAGGCAGAGGCAGGGGGATCTCTGTGACTTTGAGGTTGGATTGTTCTACATAGTTCTAGGCCAACCAGGACTATATATAGAGATTCTGCCTCAAAACTTAACAAAAGAAAAAAGAGAAGAGAAGAGAAGAAAGGAAAAGGGACAACACAAAGAGATTCTGTGAATCCGTTCAAGGTTACAGAACTCTGGGGACTTAACTCTGGCTCCCTCTCCACAGTGTCTTACAAACACAGGGACAAGGCAAAGCAGGGCTCACACAGCCAGGCAACTGGTGTCATCTTCACAGTCCATTTAGAAGGTTGATATAATTACCCTGTTCTCCTGATGAGAGGACTGAAGCACAGAGAAGACATACCATTTGCTGAAAGTCACACAGCAACGAGGGGCAGAGCTGGGATTAGTGAGACCCCGGCTTGTCCTGACCTTTAAGATCTTGAAGTGCTCTTACCCCTTGAGACCATAATGTCTTCCTTTGCAATGGGACTGGCAGATTTCACACGGCCTTCACCATGCTGGGCACAGCGTATCAACCCTGCTGAACTGATGAGGAAACAGCCTGGGCGTTTAGTTCAAGGCCCTGCGCTAGTCTGAATCCAGAGGCATTACATCTTAGAGGCCATCATACGGATGAGGACTGAGGTCTAAGAGAACCGGGGTCTGCCTGTGGCTGGGCTGCAGCTTTAAATGTGGCCATGCAACTCACGGAGGAGCCAGGTAGGCGATGGGTTAGGATGTTTGTGCTTCACAAAAGGGGAAAAATAAGCCCCTGATAGATACATCATAAAGCGATGTCTGCTGGGTTTTATGTCATGGTTAGACAAATTCTAAACAAAAACACTACCCTTCTCCTGCCTGGCATTGGATGGTCAACCCTTTCTGTTCAGCTGAGCCCTGCACAGTCCCTTGTGCAAGCCCATTCTTCCAACATGGTAAACTGAGCTCATGCCAGGGAGGTGGTAGATTCCGGTCAGACATAGGGTACGCTGGGCCCTGCTCAGGCACAGCTGGGTGACCACAAAGCTGCCCTTGAGAACCCCACATGTGGTGAGGAGATCTCTAAGAACTGTGTCAAGGCTGAAGGTTTCAACTGTCCATGACCCAAGACCCATGGGTGGAACCAGACAAAAGGGAGGTGGAGGACCCACCTTGGCCCCACTGTGGGCAGCGTGTCACAGGAGGCTTGCAAGAAGAGGCCTGTCTGGAAGATGTCTCTCAGCTCTAAGATGCCCACATCTTGGATCCAAGCCAAGGGACTAGAGATAGCCAGGCCCCAGCTGTAGCTGCAGGCCTGCTCAGGACCAAGTAGAAAAGGGATGCTGGCCAGGCCCTGCCCCCTTCCCAGGCCGAGAGTGATTCTCTGCAGAGGGAAGCAGAGGAGGTGGCAGGGAGAGATTAATTCCCTGAAATGGAAAAAAAATAGAAAAACACACACACACCACACACCCTAATAACATGTAATAAGAGGTTGGAGATGAGGAACAATGCCCTGGTAATGTCACCCTGGCGGCAATCAATTTGGGTGTCACATGAAATAGGCATAATTATTCCGCCAGCCCTGGCGCTTGTCTCTAACCAGCTCCAGGGCCCCAGGCCTGGGCGGGGGAAGGGGGATGAAATCAATTGTGGGTACACCAGGCTGACAGGGGGAGTTACTCCAACTTAGCCTGCCAGCACCTGGCTTCTAAGCCCCTCTGGTGGGCCTTGTGGTTTAGGGACCCTTAGATGCCCAGGAGCCATATTGCTTGACCATCCTACATTCGTTGCTTGGACACGAGCAATCTGAGAGGGCCCCCAGGAAGTTGTGAACGCCAGAGGAAGGAGCCCACGTGTGTTTTGTCCAGCAGGTGGCCACCACATTCTCGCCGAGTACCCACCAGTGCCAGGCCTCATATCGATGCCAGGGTACAGGAAGGGGCGCTTCAGGAGCTGAGCAGGGAGAGGGCGTTAAAATAAGGAAGCACAGGCTCCCTGTAGCTCCCGGGCCAGGACGGCCGTTCCCATCCTGAGTGTAAGTCTTACTTGCTCCCCTTCATTCTGCTTCCTTGGGGAGTCCCCCTCCCATCACTCCTGCCCATGCCCGAGCTCCGGACTCTTACAGACAATACCCCCATTTCAGAGGAAACTGAGTTTCATGGGATAATAACCACTTAGTGAGCATCCATCCCACATTGGATACTGCCTGCTCAACCCCCCTTCACACACCACAAACCTTGAATCCCAGAAATGCAAATCAAGGCTATAATGAAATCCCATTTTACACTCATTCAATCAAGAGAAATCAAGACAGCCAATAGATAGCACGGAGTTGACTGGGGATGGGGGGGTGATGGGAACACTCGTCCCCTACAGGAGAGACATAAAGTGGTCCAACTAATTTGGAAAACACTTTGGCACAGTTCCTAGGAAAGCTGAACACGAACATGCCCTGCAGCCCAACAGTTCAGGGCACTTCCCACACTGCCTCAGGAGACAGAATGAGGGGGTTTGTGGCAGCACTATCTGCAAGAGCCAGAAAGAGCAACAATCCAAATGTTCATCAATAGGAGGGCCAGGAATACATTGTGTTACATTCAAGTGACAACCAAAGCCATCAGAGAAAAAGGAATGGGTGCTGAACATCCACTATGGTTTGCAAGGATATGATAATGAATGAAAAAACCAATTCCAGAGGACTGTGTGTTGTTTATATTCTGTATAGAGTTAAAAAAATAACTAAAACGTCACAGTTCTTATATAGCTAAATATATTATTTTATTTTGGTGCTGGGTACTGAACTCAGGACTTCATGAACGCTAGGCAAGTGGCCCCCCACTAAGCTATACCCTCAGGCCCAAACACAAGAGGCAAGAGAAATTTAAATACATAGTGTAGGGTGGTAATTACCTCAGAAAAAGGAGCCATGGAAAAGGTGTGGAGAAGCACACAGGAGCAGGCAAAGGCTGAATGGTGAAGTTAGAGACTTGGATCACATGTTCAATATGTTATCATGAGCACTACTACTATGTATTTTTATTTTGTTTTATTTAGTGTGTGTGTGACAGGAGAGAGAGAGAGAGAGAGAGAGAGAGAGAGAGAGAGAGAGAGAGAGAGAGAGAGAGAGAGAGAGAGTCTGGCATGGAACTTACTATGTAGAGCAGACTGGCCTTGAACTCATAGAAATCCACCTGCCTCTGTCTCCCCAGTGCTGGGATTACAGGCATGCACCACCATACCCTGGCAAGTACTACTATTAGTAATATAAACGTACAGGTCAGCCGGGCTGTGGTAGTGCACACCTTTAATCCCAGCACGCAGGAGGCAGAGGCAGGCGGATCTCTGAGTTCGAGACCAACTTGGTCTACAAGAGCTAGTTCCAGGACAGCCTCCAAAGCCACAGAGAAACCCTGTCTCGAAAAACCAAAACCAACCAATCAAACAAACAACAACAACAAAACGTATGGATCAACAAATGAACAGGCTAGTCCTGGACCAGTGAGAACAGCCACCGCCCATGGTCAGAAGGAGAGCACATTAGAGTGAACGCCACACCTGCAAGATGGGGGCTTTGGATAGGTGACTCCACCATTCTGATTGTTTTCTCAGCTATAAAACTAAATCTCCGCGCCACCTCCAAGGAGAAAACCGGAAGCACACCATTGATGTGAACTGTAAGTAGCTAGCACTCATTAGGCACGCACTGTGCACCCCACACGGCTCTAAGTGCTTTACGTGGTTAGTGCGGTTCACTGCCACCATCTCCACGGTTATCTCCGTTTTACTGGAGAGGACCTGGAGACGGCGAGAGATTAAGTAAGTTACCCAAGGTCAGGGAACGAGGCAGTGGTGGAACTGAGGCTTGAACCAGGCCCTGGCTGCACAGTTGGCTCTCACAGCGACACGGGAGGAGCCGAGCGCTCAGGCAGAAGCTCAATTGGCCCACAGCACTCAAGGATATTCACTTATCCATTCATTCACATAAACAAAGGTCAGAGTCAAGAAGGCCTCGAGTGTGTTTGGAAATGACCCCGCCTTCTCAAAGCTTTCTTCAGAGAGCCTCCTCTCTGGAAACCCCTGCTTCCTGTGTCTCTGCAAAGCCTCCAGGCACCCTCTTCTCCTAAGAGCCTGACTCCATCAGCTCCCAGGAAGAACCCCCCCCTTCTTGAGCACTCTGTCTTGGCTCTCCAGTCTCTACCTGGGACATCTTTAGTGCATATCTAGCCCTACCCGTTCCTGCAGCAAAGGACTCCATGCCCCCTCTAGGCTGTCCTTACCAGGAGGTCCTAGAGCCTCTTGATGTCTTTCCCACGCCCAGAGGTTTGCCTAGGTATTCAAGGTACTCAATAGGGTCTAGCCAGGGGCGGAGCAAGAGCTCATCAGGATGTACAGAATAAATGCATGAATGGACAGGCTGCGGTGCCATCGTGTGTAAATCAGTGGGGGAACTTAGAGCAGCTAGGGGGAGGCTGCTTCAAGGAGAGAGCCTTTGGAGGAGGGCTGACAGACCAAACTGAGGGGGGATACAGGCATATGGGGAAGAACTGGTAGGGACAGAACAAAATATACTCAATGGTGGTGCTCTGGGAGGAGAGAGTCACACTTAGAAAAGCATGACCAAGACACTAGCCCACAGCCTTCTGCTCTCACAGCCACCTAACAGCGGCTCAGCGGAGCTATCACCAATACAGGTTCTCCTCAACTTTTTTGCTAAGCAACGGCCCATCCTGGAGGAGGATAGTGACCCTCTAGAATTCTGAGGGTTTTTTTAAAGCTATTATCTAGTGTAAGAAACGTGTGTGTAGAGACAGGAACAGAAGAGATGACCCCTAGGATCAAAGAGGACGGGGGGGGGGGGGGGGCAGGTGAAACAGTCTCTACATTCCATTCAATCTTGCAGGACCCCTCCCTCCACTCACAAAGCGTCAAACCTCAGCACACAGCACACACCCATCCCGTAAGAGCTGTTTCCTGAACCCTCATTCACTCCAGGTCTAGGGAGCAACACAATCTTGATGGGGCCCTACCCAAGGCCATCTCACACTCCAGCGAGGGCTGGGGGAGGGTTACATAGAAAACAGGAGCGCCCCGGGGGCCTGTCCTTCTTCGGCTGAGTATCCTCAAGGAGGCAGCTGGGTGTTGCCCTCAGATCTTCCGAGACCACGTCCCCTTTTCCTGGCACCTTCAGCGTGGCCCCAATGCCTTCTTCACCTCTCCCTTTCTGTCACCGCGGTCTTGCCTCCCAGCAAACCAGGTGCCAGCACCTTCCCAGGTGCTGAGAAGTCTGCACCCCTCTTGGTCCACACAAGGACAAAGGGCCAGGAGCAGAGAAACACCCACCCCCTCACCAGCGGTCCTTAATGGGTCCAGGGAAGCCCCAGGCTGTCTGCCTGCTTGGTGCCCTGGACTCCCCTGGCACCGAGGCTCCGTGCTGGAGTCGTTGGCATAATGACCAGCAGGGCTGAGCCCAGAACCGGGAACCAGGAGAGCCGGGCGCCCTCTGGCTGCCCAAGCCCAGCCAAGGACCGAGGAAAGGCTGGGCTCGCAGAAAGGGGCTGGCCCAGATGGTCCGACCCCCACCTCAGGCCTCCTGAACTCCCACCAACCAGGGCAGAGCTGTTCCCATGTTCCATGTGCCGGGGTCGCCACTCCACCCACCCATCACAGGGCCTTTGAGAACAAAGGGGAGGTGCCGCGACAGAAAGAGCTGGGCAGGGGCTGGGCAGGGACCCCCAGCGATAAGGGACCCGGGGGACTGCCCACCTGCCTGGCCCCACCCCTCCTCAAAGTGGGACCCAGCTGGAGAGAAACATCTTCTGGGGTGTCTTAGAGGGCAGGAGGCCCAAAGCCCACCCAAGTAGGGTGTGTTTGGGGACACACAGGAGGCCCTTTCTCACCTCCCGCTTCTCAGCAGGCTCCCACCTCCCACCCATTTCCCTCGGAGTGAAAAGTGGGGCAGGAGGGGGTGAGATGCCCGGCTGAAGGAAGACAAAGGGGAGCCCCGAAGGTTCCCGGGTCTTCCTCAACCGGACTCCCCCCTCCCCTGTCTTCCCCTCTCCACCTCCCTTTCACCCGGGAGGAGCCAGAAAGAGGCTGAGAAAGCTCCTGTGGAGAGAGAGAGGCAACCCAAGCTGGAGCCTGGGGAGAAGCTGCTCCCTAGCCGCGTCCCCAGCCTTGGCAGTGTTAGCCAGGGCTGGGGGGGTGGTCTCTGGTACACTGAAAGACTCATCCGGGGCTACGAGAGCCATATCCTCTGGGTGGCCAATGCCCAGAAAGGGAGGATGATGTAGGGAGCACCAGGGCAGTTATTGGAATGGAATGGATCTCTCCTTGACCACAGTCCCAGCTTGCCAACCCGGGATCTGTTAGGGCCAATGGAAGAGA